CGCATTTCAGCTGGGACCCCTGGCAGTGTGGGCGAGCACAGACTCGAGCCCAGGTGTCTAGCCACTCGTGGAACACTGGCTCTCGCTGCGCAGAGCACGTGGGGCTGAGGGTTTGTTTGCCCCGCCCGCAGCCAGAGAAGTTCCTGGGGCTTGGGCGGCGGGGTCCTGATGCACGCGCTGCCCTCAGGGAGTAGCTGGGAAATACCTGGCTCTCTCCACGCCTTTCAGCTGGGAACCTTGGCAGTGTGGGCGAGCACAGACACGAGCCCAGGTGTCTAGCCGCTCCTGGAACACTGGCTCTCCCTGCGCAGGGCGCGTGGGGCTGAGGGTTTGTTCGCCCCACCACCTGAGGTGTATTTCTGACCTTCTTTTCTAGCAAGAGATGGCAAAGGGTGGGCCTCTATTTTACAGCTTCTACATGATACTTCTAAGAGGGTATTAAAGCCTCTTGATCTTTATTTATTTATTTAGGAACTGGGGACAGAACCCAGGGCCTTTGCACTGAGCTACACTCCCAGCTGGATTTTTTTGGGTCCTGCTAAGTTCCCCAGGCTGAGCTCAACCCTGTGAGGTTCCTGCCCCAGCCTCTCAGAGTGCAGAGATTACATACATGTGCCCAGTGCCTGGTTTACTGTTTTTATTTGGTAGATGAGAACCTTTACATTTACAGATGATGAGTTCCTGGTCCAAGATCACACAGCAAAGCTGGAGACAGGGCTGCAGCAGATCAGTCTGCCATATAGCCAGGCCCATTCTTCTTCCTTCTCAACAGTGAGCTGTGGTGCAGACAGATGGGAAGGCTTGGCATGGAAATCCCTCCCTGCACTGCAAGGCCATCTAACATGCAGGTGCCAGGCAAATGGCTCTGGAAGTGAATGATGGTTGCTTGGCTCGACAGACCCTCTGTAGGTCTCGTAGTGGACCAGCGGTACATCTGGACAAATAGGCCAGATTCAGGGGCTGGGCTTTGCCTTGAGAAGTTGTCCCAGGGATGCCAAGGGCCAAAACAATAAGAGTTTTCCCAAGTGTTTATGGAGGGAACATCTTATTTCTATTCTGGCACATGGGGTTCATCTTCCAGGACCTTGCTTGAGCTGTGTTCATGGAAAAATGATGGGGAAAGAACTTAATTAATTTTGGTGAACTTTGTACCACTTAAATCCCAGAGTGGTTTCATTGCAGTGAAGGAAAGAAGCCAGACAAATTCCAAACACATTCAGATTGGTATAGCTGGGAAGACATGAGGTTCGTGGACAGGAGTGAATGTTCTGGTGGATGCTGGATGCAGCCCTCACTGGGGCTTCACTGTGCTCTGAAGTAAAGAGAAGGGGGCGCCTTTGGATCCCAGGACATAACTTTCTTAACTTAACTAATTCTTTTGTTCAGTCTGACCACTTCATTTAGACATCAGAAATGTCTAAGGTCACCAGGCCCCAGAGCACCAAAAAATCACACCATCATAGTTAGGGGCATCACCATGCATCCGAAGGACGTGGCTTTGGAATCACCTACCCTAGCTTTGTCTGTTATTTTCTAAGCTTTGAACTTAGATCTTTCACCATCAGTCCCTTCTCTAAAATAGGGATGATTATATCTGCTTTGTGGAGGACATTTTAGAAGACATCCACAGATACATATGCAAATATCCTCAAACACATCTCCCTAGAAATGTCTAAGACACAAATTGGCCACAGTAATGTGTACCACTGAGCAGAGGTCAAGGGCACATTGCCCTTTCACTTGGAGACCCTCATCGATTCTGTTAGGCCATTCATATCACTTATGTGTTGCTAGATAACAAGCCACCCCCAGCTGAGTGCCTTAAAGCCATCTAAAACATATCTGGAGCTCTAGGAAGGGGCAGGGGAGCAACTTGTTTCTCCCATTCGTTTTTCCCCCAAGTGGCCCTTCACAAAACATTTCAGTGCCAGGGCTGGGGATATAACTCAGTGGAGCAGTGCCTGCCTGGAAAGTGCAAGGTCCTGAGTTTGATTCCTGGTACCAAAACCAAAACAAAACAAAACACATTTCAGTGTCATATGCTGGACATTAAGGCTGGGATAAAAATAGGTCCAAGGAGGTTGTTTAAAAGCAGCACATCAAAGCCTACAGATGCTGCCTTCCAGAGGTGGACAGACCTTCTGTGTTCTCCCCTCACATATGGAAGATGCAGGCCTCTGTCCCCACTGGCACCCCCATAAAGATGGGGTCTCCTTGGGATTAGACTTTGCTGCATCTCCCTGAGAGATACTTGTAGGGGCAGAGGCTGCTGTGGGCCTGAATGTGGGCACTGAGTTGTGGGTGTGCCTGTGGGCGTGTGTGAGCATGCTGCTTGCACAGGTGTGCATAGAACAACTGTGTGAGTCTGTGTGGCTGTGCAGGTGTGAGCCTGCAAGCACTGTGTGAAGGCAAGTGTTTGTTTGAGCCAGGAGACACAGAGCACACCAGTGTGAGCAAACTCCAAACTGTGCAAAGGAAAAATGCACAGGGGCCTAACCTGAGCACTGCATGACTCCCTAGCCTGAAGCTCCTCCGCCAGCAGTGAAGATGCCTGCATATGTCATGTTTCCAAGTGCTCGAAATAAACTATATGATCCTACCAGGCCGGGAGCCAAGAGAGTCTGTGGTCAGTTGGAGGGAAGAGAGGGCCCTGAGAGTCTGGGAAATGGGGATGCTGTGAGCAGAGAGGGTGCTCCTTGGAGCAAGCCAGAACCCCACATCAGGAACTCAGCTGGTACTACCTTCCTCCTGGCGATGGGCAATAGATGTCCTTGAGGAATGTTGTGCATTGTGGACTGGCATTTTTCTTTCAGTCCCTATGAGCCCTTGTAGATCTCTGTGGGTTCTTTCTAGTATAGACATGCCCAGGACATACACCTGTTTTCTGGACAACTGAGCTCCACAGAGGTTGGTGCTGAAAGAGTAATGGGGCAAACATCTTTTTCCTTTTTTCTTTTTCTGTTTTCCTTTTTCCTTTCCTTTCCTCTCCTTTCCTTTCTTTTCTTTCTCCTTCCTGTCTTCTTCCCTTCCTTCCTATTTATTCCTCTCTCCTTTTCCTCCTTCTCGTTTTCTTCCTTCTCCTTTCCTCTTCTCTCTCCTCTTTTTTCTCCTCCAACTTTTCTTCCTTATTCTTCCAACACTTCAAGGACAGCAAATGACAGCAGGATGAGCTTTGCCTCTGCTGCCTCGGGACATAGTGAATTTTTTGTTTCTGTTCTTGTGTTGCTAACATCCTTTTATCTCTGCTCCACTTTCAACCTCTGTGTGCATCCCTATGTGTTTGTTCTAAGGTTGGGCTGACTGATGGGGTTTCACTGAAAGAAATGATAATAAAAATTAACTCACAGAACACTTTCAAATGTGTATTTTATTGTGCTCAGGGATATTTGGGAGGAGCAGTAATAGTACACATGGTGTGTTAGTAATTATTTTGACTTTGATTATGTATGTACCTTGTGACAAGTGCTCTTCTAAGAACTACTTGCATGATATTCTCCATAATATGGACAAGAAAAATATGACCTAGAGACTGTAGTGACTTCCCAGTCACATCAATGGTGAGGAAGGGACAAAGGATCATACTCAGACTTCCTGCCCCCTTGAGTACTGAGCCCTCAGCACCATGCTGTGTAGCATCAGTTAAGTTTGTGGCACAAATATTTCAGGTGGCACCACCCAGGGAATGTAATTTGGCTTTGATACTCACTTGGCATTGGTTCCTAAACCCTGGCTTCTTATCTGCCTCAGACCCTATTTTTCTCAGCATAAATGGCTTCCATTATTTTTAGGAAATAAATAACTCCCAACCGGTGTGCTTTCTTATATCTACAAATCAGCTTTGATCGTACTTTTCTGGGACAGCAGAAGTTAAAACTACCCACTTTCCTTTTCTTGTCCAATAACCTAGTTTTAAATGTAGACATACACAAGGGATGGTGAGGCCAGCTACTATGGTGATGAATGGCACATCCACATCCTCACTTGAAACCCATGATCACTTCATCATATTGGAACATGGTTATTACTATCAGTAGCTCTGGTGCTCCCTCCAATTTATACACAAGGAAAGTGAGTCTCAGGGAAGTTATCTCTCTGAGAATCGATAGCTGGTAAAGAGTAGGATTGGATCACATAGAGATATGTCTGAAATGGCCACACACAGTGCTTCCTTATTAGTCCCTGCACACTCTCATTCACTCTTACTGCAACAGGTGTCCATAAATTTGACACTAATGTGTGTGACCCAATACTCTCATGTTAGGTATAAGGGAGAAAGAACAAACCCATGGAAACTAAGAACCATTCTAAATAACCCTTGATTCAAAGAGAAAATGAAACTGGTAATAAAAAGTATTTAGAAGTTAATAAAAGGGAGAGCAAAATATATGGGGTATACCTAGGGGTATACTGAGAAGAAAAAGCATTGTTTGAGGTGTTTCATAACTTAACTTGAATAGCAAAATATGCTAAAAGAAAATAAGAGGGACTCTATCAGTCAGGGTTTACTAGAGAAACAGATATAACACAAGATACACAAATTATAAGAAGTTGTAAGTTTGTACAAGAAATTGTAAGCCACAGATTTGGTTGAGGAAGCATGCAGAAGGTGTCTGCATGCTGGAGACTGAAAAGCCCAGCCCCAGGCCTGGGGCTCACTGCATTGTCTGTGTAAGTCTGTATTAGGAGGCTGATGGGTCTGTGACAGGAATGCTGAAGAATCTACAACAAAGGACGAAGGCCAGAGAGCCTACCTCAGAAGGCTGAAAAGTCCCAGGTGGAAGCCAAACAGTCTGCACTGGAAGCCAGGAGATGACCAAGCTGAAGGCAAAGAGTGGAACTCCTAAGAAGAACCAGCAGCCAGTCCTTTCTCAATTCCCTTTGTTTGTGCAGCCTACCCACCCTGGAGGGAGTGGGAGTGGTCCTCTACACCCACACACTCTGCATGCCTTCCTCTTGGACAGGCTCAGGATGAATACAAAGTAAGCACCCAGGCTCCCTGCTGAGTCACACAGTTAACGCAAATTGACACAATAAACAACATCCCAAAAGGGTAAGGGCATATCTTTTTACCCCAAGATGCAGAACTGCTAAATCACTTAGCCAAACCTCTATACTCTCCAAGTTGACACAATATATCAACCATATCCAGGGCCTAAAGTTTATGAAATAAAAAAAAAAAGAAGAAATTGATGAAACTAAAATCTTGGTCTTTAAAAGATAAATAAAATGAAAAGCTCCTACTGTGTGTGTGTTTATGTGTGTATGTTAGGAAGGGGCAATATATAAAGTGTAGAAAAATAATTTTTATATAACAAAAAAAATGTTATAAACTGTGCTGCAGTTTGAATGTGGTTTGTCCCCACTAAAACTCCTGTTGAGGCTTACTTTCCAGTGTAATGTTACAGACACTGTAGATCCTGTAAGAAAGGGGATTTGGTCTTAAAACAGGTTGCTGCTGTCTCTTGGGTGTTCTGGTTCTCACTTGACCAGGTTAGTACTCCAGGGACCAGCTTGGTATAAACCAGCCCACTGCCTCCCTGACTCTGTCCTCTATACACGCCCTTTACCCTTTTCCTTTTCCTCTGCCATCTTGTGACACAGCCAGGAACCCATGCAAGACACTGGCACTGTGCTGTTCATGCTTTCAAAATACCAGAACTATGAGCTAAGTGAACCTCTTTTGTTATACAGTATCCAATCATAGAAGTTTTTTATTAATAGCTATGTGAAACAGATTGGATAAACAGAAAGTGTTTACACTTTAAAAAAAGTGTAAAAAATGGAAATTTTAATCTGGATACATGTTATTAAATATGATACAAGAAGAGACAGAAAATGTTGAAAATAT